CTGGGCAAGTCCTTTCCCCTGTATCTCCCAGTACACTAAGAGAATAGGCCTGGATGCTTTCGTATCCTTTAGTGCCATGACTGTGGCCACTCAAGCAACTGCCAGCAAGTGGGTGTGTCTGGGGGACCTGAATTATTATGCCCGCTGTAGCCTGTATCTTGGAGTAGGCGAACCAGATTTAACCAAATGTACAAGTCAGACAGAGGCATAAGGGAAAGGACGCAGGGCGTCCCCTCTGTCCTTCCCAACTTCCTTGGGCTAATATTTTTCTGGAGATGAAGACTATAGATTGATTGTGCATATTAAATATGACTCTGAGCCTCGGGTAATTTTTAATGTCATTTGGTGAAATGATCCCCTTCCCTCCAAGGCTACTTCATAATTAGTGTGGTGGCCTCCACAGAGGAGATTCATACTGGAAGAGCACCAAAGCCCCTTACTTGTGATAGATAGATAGATAGATAGACAGACAGACAGACAGACAATAGGATGTGAAAAAAAATGAGTGAGTTTCACCATGTACCAAGTTGTTATTTTTGTATGTGGGGGTGGTAAAAATAACTATATCCAATGCTGACACTGGCACCTCACACATGCTAGTGATAATGCAAATTTGCAAAGTCTTTTTGGAAAGCAGTTTGGCAAGGTAGTAACTAGTACCTAGAATAGAACCTAACACAATAAGTGCTCAATTCATTTTTATTGAATTACTACTAATAATAACAACAGTAAGGTAAAAATAGCAGCAAATATACACTGAGTGTTTTCTCTGTTCTAGGTTCTTTACATGTCCAAATTTATTTAATTCTCACATCAATACTATTATTAGTCCCAATTTTATGAACGAGGAAACTTGAGGATAGAGAGGTTAAGGAACTGGCTTAAGGTCACCCACCTGGCAAGTGGAGAGCCAGCATCTGAACCCGGGTACTCTGGCCCAGAACCTCCCCCTTTACCAACAGCGTAGAACTCTCTGTCACATTTATATCCAGAAGCTTAAAATGTTCATCCCTCCTGATGCAGTAACGCCCCTTCCAAGAATCTACCCTGAGGATGTAATCAGCGGGAAGATGACGGTTTCTCCGCCCAAAGATGTTCATTGCAGTGTTGCTTATAATAGCCAAAACTTGGAAGTGACTTCAGTGTCCAGCAGTAGGGACTGGGTAAATCAATTTTGCTATATCCAGTATAGAGATTTTTACCTAGCCAATAAACAGAAATCATGGATACTATAGAGCAACCTGGAATATTTAAGGAGAATAAAAGCATGCATACTGACTGATTGCAAGTCAGTAACAATATTGGATAGTTGGGATCAAAGACTTGAAGGGGATAAAGAAAAGCCGTCCTGGCGGCGGTGTCACAGAGTTATGGTGGATGCTGGTTCTCCTTTCTGCAGACTTTTTGTAAGGTTTACATGTTGCTTTTTAAATGTGAGGAAAAGAAGAGGGATTGAGCCAGGAGTCAGGGCATCTTGTAAGGTTTGTGGGTGACCCTGGTCACGTCACTATCCTCTGGGCTTTATTTCTCTCATCTCTAAGAACACTAGTTGGACTGGCTGCCCTGAGCCCTCTTCCATCATGAAGGTCCCACATATTGGGGGCCACACGAGCTGCCCATCAAACTGGTGCTTGGGGAGGGGGAGAGATGAGGCCAGGAGTGGGCTCATGGCTCCTCTCACTCACTGGGACTCAGCCTCAGCTGGCCTCACAGGGTCTCCTGTTGGGCACATCACTTCCCCCATCCTGCCCAGAGTTGCTGTGGCCACTGTAACCCTAAGTGGAACTTGTTGAGAAGGTGTATATTTGGAAAGCTTCTGTATACGCTAGAGCTTTTTAAATGTAGGCATAATAGTCCTGACTTTGTAATAACTAAGAATAAAAACTTTTGCAAGTTATAAAAGTAACACCTAGTAATTGTAACATAAAGAAGTATCAGACTGTCCTTACCCCTTTCCAATCCCACTCCTAACAGTTTGGGATATATCCTTGCACCCTACATATGTGCTTTTTTTTTTTTTGGAAACCAAAATGAGATTTTACTTTATACTTGATTGTGCAACTTGCTTGTCTTATTTTAGAATATACCATGGATATCTCTCTATGTTAGTACATATAAGGTATAATTTCTGTCAATGGCTTCTTAACCTTCCATAGTAAAGTGTACTACAATGTATTCAACGAGTCTTGTTTGGTTGAAGAGTCAGCCTGTTTCTAGTACTTTGCTATCTCAAAGAGTGTTTCAGCAAACGTATATATAGATATGGGTAAAGATACACACACATATACATCGAGTAAGACAGGAGAAGAGAAAAAGGGATTGAGATTCCTGTGTCTTGGGAGTTTTATTTCCATGGATTAGTTTTATCCAGTATGGCATTTCTGAGTTAAAAGAGATGAACATTTAAATCTTTGAAACTTTTGGTCATTGCATATGTTTTCAATCAACAGATACCAGGAGACCAGTTTGAGGGTTTGTGAAATGTTTTGACCTTGCATAGGGGTTTTCAGGCTGCCCTGGACAAGGCCAGGACTCAGTGGGGTAGACCAGGAGGAGAACAGGGGATGTTCCACTATAGATATGGGTAAAGATACACACACATATACATCGAGTAAGACAGGAGAAGAGAAAAAGGGATTGAGATTCCTGTGTCTTGGGAGTTTTATTTCCATGGATTAGTTTTATCCAATATGGCATTTCTGAGTTAAAAGAGATGAACATTTAAATCTTTGAAACTTTTGGTCATTGCATGTGTTTTCAATCAACAGATACCAGGAGACCAGTTTGGGGGTTTGTGAAATGTTTTGACCTTGCATAGGGGTTTTCAGGCTGCCCTGGACAAGGCCAGGACTCAGTGGGGTAGACCAGGAGGAGGACAGAGGATGTTCCAGATGGGAGGAACTGCCCTGGCCCTCCTTCTCTCAGGGAGAGTAGAGAAGGGAGAATTGAAGTTACTTTATAGACCATACTTATTTCTATTTCTTAGTGTATACTTTTGACCTGATTTCAAAGTGTTCCAACCACTCAGTGGATAGCACATTTTTCCACACTTGGGCCAGGCAGTCAGGAGATTGTGTCATCATCATAGGACCTGGAATGCCAGAGCCCAAAGGGTTCAAGTAGACTGCCTGGGTCACCTCTCTTATGTTACAGATGGGGAAACTGAGGCCCAGAGAGGGGAAAGACTAGCTCTGGGTCACCTAGCAAGTTGGTGGCACAACTGGGTCCCAAAGGAACTTCTCGACTCCCAGACCAGTATCCAGGGACATTTATTTAATACCCCCTGGGAGAGGGGCACAGGGTGAGGCCCTGGATTTGCATCTACTGTATGATGGTGACAAGTCTGTTTACCTTCTCTGGGACTCAGTTTCCCCGTCTACATGTACCTTTGTCCTGGGGCTGCCAAGAATGTCCCTAGAGCTCACAGAAAAAATTAAGTGTATGTACTGGGGGGAGAGCTGGGGCTGACTCCTTGAGGGCCTCAAGAGGCTGTGCCCGGGTGAGCCCATTCTTCCTGTGCTCTCCAGCTGGTGTTCCCCCTTGAATGGTTTCCGCTCAACAAGCCCAGCGCCGGGGACTACTTCCACATGGCCTACAATGTCATCACACCCTTTCTCCTGCTCAAGGTACAGTCCCAGGCCCCCGCCTTCCCCTCTCGTCCTCATTCCTTCCTTCACCCAGCAAGAAGCTGGTGCCGTGCCTGGTGCACTGAATCAGGCTTTCTGTCGCCGGCTTCTGGGGGGTGGTGGCTGTGTAGAGGGGCACGTCAAGGGCCTGGGGCCCAGTGAGGCAAAGCCACCTCTGCCTGGGAGGGAGGGAGGAAGCGCCCCTGAGGAGGGCATCTGATTTGGGCCTCAGCCCTGTGTGCCAGTGGGTGAAATGGGAGAGGTGTTCAGGGAGAAGCATCTGAAGACAAGGCTGTGCTTGGAAACCATAAAACATTCGGGGAGGCCAAGGCAGAAGGAGTGATTGGGGTGTCCAGGGAGAGGTGATGGACCAGCTGGGAAGGCAGGGGGGACCAGGTAGCAGGAAAGGCAGCATCAGAGGCTGAACTCCATCCTCTGGCCTAGAGAGCCCTGACTTTGAGGTGCCACTGGGGGCACAGAGCAGGGGCTGCTGGCTTTGCACTTTGCCAAATCAACGCTCTTAAACTTACCATCACCTTCTACTAGCTCCATCATTTTGTTTTGAACAAAGGCATTTCAGATCTTCAAACATAGGAGGGGTGTAATATCAGAATTCAGAGAAATCTTTTTGGTTAAATAATGTAGTCTCAGAAGCTCCCGCCTCATCCCAAGTATTTTCTTTGCGTTTGCCGTGGACCACTCATGTAGAGACCAGGGGGTCCCTTTAGCAGGCTGACCCGGCCACCCAGGGGCACAGCTGGCGGCAGGGGCAGAGCTGGGTTCAGAGCCTGGACTGCTGCTGTGAAGTCCTGGCTGTCACCTCTAGCACGTGGCTCATGTATGACCTTGGGCAAGGAGTTGGGCCCCCTATTTCCAGTCTGGGAAAGGGGGGTGCTATGCTCTGGCCCCTGCTGGGTTCACAGGGATCATGTGAGAATCCGGAGGCTGGGTGGCCCACTAAAGGGACCCACCACTACTGTAATAACGTTCCAACCTGTGGTGTCCCTCCCACCCCAGGTGTGAGGGAGGGAGGCAGGGGATGTCACGTGCTGTAACGGAGGTGACAGAGGCGGGCTCATGCTGTCGCCTCACCCCGAACCTCAGCTCATCGAGCGGTCCCCCCGCACCCTGCCGCGCTCCGTGATCTACATCAGCATCATCACCTTCATCATGGGCGCCAGCATCCACCTGGTGGGCGACTCGGTCAACCACCGCCTGCTCTTCAGTGGCTACCAGCACCACCTGTCGGTCCGAGAGAACCCCATCATCAGGAACCTCAAGCCCGAGACGCTGGTGAGGCCACCCCCCAGTTGCCTGCCTGGGAGGCTAAGGACACTGCCCAGCGCCCGGCCGCCCCGTGTCAAAGGCGTCCTGCCGGGTGGGGGTGCCATCGCCTAGCCAGGGTGTCACGTACTGTCAGAAAGTGGTGGTCACCTGGCTCCCACCTGGGCCCCTCTGATAGAGGACGAGGCCCCGGACGGCGATGAGGGCGGTCGGGCAGGCCTGGGTCGGGAGGAGGGTGGCCAGAGGGTCCCCTGGGGCCGGGGACAGCTCCCGCCCGACTTCCCTCTCACCCTGCGCGCCTGCCTCCCTCAGATCGACTCCTTCGAGCTGCTCTACTACTATGACGAGTACCTGGGCCACTCCATGTGGTGAGTGACCCTGGCCCCGCGTCTCCATGTGTCTGTGGGGCGGCCGGAATGGCGTTCTCGTCCCCCGTGAAGGCGCTGGGAGCTCGGCCGCTGGTGACGCTGCCCCGGGGACCCCGCCCGCAGTGCCCGCGGCGGCCGCCAGAGGGCAGCGAGCGGCTGTGTCCCTCCCGGCCGAGCCTGCAGCCTGCGGAGGACGCGGCCCGCCCGGATAAACAAGCCCCCGGCCCATGGCGATGTGGGGGTGGGGACGGAGGAGGGGGCCCACCGTGTCAGGCCGTGCTCTTTGGGAATGCCATAAGCTGGGGAGCGCCAACTGGACGTGGTAGGGGTTGGGGGGGGCGCAGTCTGTGCTCCCCCCTCCTCAGAACTCCCAGGGGATCTCCTTCCCCCATCCGCCTTTACCCGCAGTCAGGAGGAACCCTTAGAAATGTGGGCTCAGCCTCAGGAGATTCAGGGCCCAAGCCGGAGGCGTCCTCTGTTCCAACCCTCTATCTTACACAGGGTAAACTGAGGCCAGAGGGAGCAGGGCTAGATGGTTGCACAGCCGGGAAGTGTCGAGCCAGCCCTGGACCTGGTGGCCCCTGCTCCTGAGTGAGGGGGACTCACTCATGCCACACATGCCCTGCCCTGGTATCTCCAGGGTCTGCTTGGGGGCATAGGAAGTTGATCCTCCTGGCACAGCAGGTCCCCGGGGCCGAGGACAGGCCTCCTGCCAGCTTCCCCTGGCTTTGACCAGAAGGCGTTCCCTCGGAAGGTTGGGGAAGGAAACAGGAGAGAGGACAGAGGCCTGGGGAAAGCGCAGGAGAGGGCGCGTGGGGGTGGGTATGGGGCCATATGGAGGGATGAGAAAGGAAAAGGTGTGTGTGTGTCAGCACAGGTGGGAGGAAAGGAGCTCTGTGTGGAGACGGGACAGGGTGGGACTTTAGGTGAGATGTTGAGGGGTGAGGCTGTGGGCTGAGTGTGAGTGGGGGGACTTTGCAGAGCTCCTTGGAGGCCTCCTGCAGGCACTGTTCTCTTTTTCTTTTTTTTTTTTTTTTTTTGCCTGGACCTTGGGTCTCCATCCTCAGCCCTGCTGGGTACACCTATTTCCAGGCCAGCGTGGGGCTGGGGTTGCTGGTGTCCAGGCACCTGCAGGAGGCGGAGACGCCCCCATGTAGAGTGAGAGAGATGACCAGGGTAGTGTGGAAGGGCGCCCCCACCCTGTAGCCTGTGGGCCTCCGATTTGCATGTGTCAGCTCCTGCCCCACCCTTGACCCCCAGCACGGAAAGGCTGGGTGGAGAGGAACGCCCCTTACCCAAGCCAGGTGTTTGCAAATCATGAAGTAACACTCCATGCAACTGTGCAAGGGACCGGTGCAGAGCTGGCGCGGAAGAGGACCTGGGTGGAGGCGGGTGGCCAGGGCAGCTGGGCAGGCCCGTCAGGTGCTGGCCTCCCTTTGCAGGTACATCCCCTTCTTCCTCATCCTCTTCATGTACTTCAGCGGCTGCTTCACGGCTTCCAAAGCCGAGAGCTCTATGCCAGGGCCGGCCCTGCTCCTGATGGTACCCAGTGGCCTGTACTACTGGTGAGTGGACATTGGTGCCTGGGATGGGGGCAGGGCAGGGTCTTTCAGTGAGCCAACACAGTAAAATCCACGTGTGACCGCAGACCTGCTGTGTGGCCCCAGATGAGGCAACTCACTCTTCCCATTAAGGAGGACCCAGGCCTCAGCCAGGCCCTTGGCCCTCCTCTGTTACTTCTGCCTTGGAGACAGGTCACCCCCCTCCAGGGATTGTGGGTATCCCAAGGAGGGCCTTGGTCGGGACTGGACCCGATTTTAATGGGAAGCCTCTGTGTAAATGAAAAGGGCCTTCTTTCCTGGGGCCAGCTCCAGCTGCCCCCTGCCTGGCTGAGGGGTCCACCAGGGCTAATCTGTAAGCTCCCTGAAGACAGGATTAGAAGGAGTGGTGACATCCACAACAAGAGGGAAGAGGCCAGACATGGGAGAGTGCTTCTTGCCTCGTTCTTACCCATAGTGTGTTGGTGCAGCAATAGCTGCGGTAGTAGCAGCAACCACTCATTGAACAAAATGCTTTTCCAGGGAAGAGGTGTACACAGCTCTTGTCAGTAACCTTGCAAGGTAAGGCTATGTATGCCCCCATTCATAAGTGAGAAACAGAGGCTCCAAGATGTCATGTAAATTCCCCAAGGTCACACGGCCACTAAATTGCAGAGCTGTAGTTCCTTGAGTGGAATGGATCAGCATTATGGTTCTCCTTAGAGCCAGGGGAGTGGACTAGATAACCTCTCAGAAGCCCTCCAACAAGTATTACTCAGCTGTTGGCCATGTGCTAGGTAGTGCCTCAGGTACTGCAGGAACCCTGGGAAACAGTACAAATTACATAAATTTATTTAGGTAATAAATAAATTCCCATAAATTACAACTGCATTCTCAAACTCTAATGCCTACAGGAATCAAGTGGGTAACAGAAATGCATCAAGCAGGCAAGTGAGGCAATAGGGAATGGTGGGGACTATGGCAAACTGTAGAACAATGCTGTCTCAAAAGGGGGTAGCTGCTTTCTCCTCTAGTAGTTTTTGTCATGTGTAAATATAAACCTAACATGACAGAGAAGCCAGAAGTCCATATTTTCAGGTATCCTATAATTTAAATATTGGCAACAAATGTAAACATTTTAAAACTAGTAACTAATAGGTCAAATCAGTATGCTGCACATGGGCTGCAGCCTCGAGTGGCATGGTTTACCAAGCCTGTTTACTAGCTGAGCTGTCCCAACTGATGCAAGGAGGGATGCATGCAGACAGTGTGGCCATGGCACCTGCCTCACCTCCCCACTGGTCTCTCCAGGTACCTGGTCACTGAGGGCCAGATCTTCATCCTCTTCATTTTCACCTTCTTTGCCATGCTGGCCCTCGTCCTGCACCAGAAGCGCAAGCACCTCTTCCTGGACAGCAATGGCCTCTTCCTCTTCCACTCCTTCGCCCTCACCCTCTTGCTCGTGGTGCTCTGGGTGGCCTGGCTGTGGAATGACCCTGTACTCAGGAAGAAGTACCCAGGCGTCATCTATGTCCCTGAGCCCTGGGCCTTCTACACCCTCCACGTCAGCAGTCGGCATTGAGTCCCTCCCTGGCAACAGCTACTGGTGCTCTGCTGGGTGGAGATGGGCCATGGAGGGTGTCTGAGCACGGGGTGTGCAGGTGCGTGTGTTGTGTGTCGGTGTACACACAGTGACTGAGAACATGGGCAGGGTATGCATATCGTGCACGTGGAGTGGTGTATGTGTATGCATGTGCCTATTGTGTACGTGTGTGCAGAGTCATTGTAAGAGTTGATTGTTTTGGTCAAGTTTCTGTTTGGTTGGATCTTCTCAGGATCAGATCTAGTTTTAGGAAGCGTGTCTAGGCCAATATCCAGGCCCCTGCCCTTCTCTGCACCTGACTGTTGCTGGGGGCCCTGACTGCACTCTCACTGCTCAGGGCCAATTTGTTCTTCCTGGGATGTCTTCTCATAGCCATGCAGGAGAGGCCTGGGTGAGACAGAAGCCAAGACGGGACTTGGTGTCTCACTCACCCACCCCTTGGCTCATCCGTCAGGCCTGCCCCGGCACCACCCTCTCCCAGCCTGGGAGGGGCACGTGTACCCCAGACCCTCACCCAACCTCAGGCCCCACATGGTGTTGCATCTCCCCAAGCCCAGGGAGCCAGAGGCCCAGCACACTCCCCTGCCTGCGCCAGCCTTCGCTTGGGGTCTCTCCCTTCTCATATTCCAGAAGAATTGTGGCCCAGCTTTGTTTCAGCCCAACTGCACGTTTTTGAGCTGCTGCTGGAGGCAGAGTTCCCAACTACTTGCACTGTTCCCTGAGCCCCATTACAGGGGTTAGGGGACTCCTTGAGGCTCTCTCCAGTCAGCTTTCTCGGCCTGAACCTCCTACCTTCTGCCAGTGGCCCTGCTCCCAGAAAGGGAGGCCTCATTCTCAGCATAAGCGGCCCCCTCTGCTCCCCTCCCCCAGCTCACCTCTCGCAGGCATTGGGTTCAGGTCCCCTCCCAGCAGAAGGCGTCACAGCTTCATCTCTGGCCAGCAATGGCCAGTACATGCTGATGGGGCTCAGAGGGGCCTGCCTTGCCCTACTGGCCTTGCCTCCTCTCCTGTGCTCTCAGGGAGCCCCGTGCCTCAGTCTCCTTTCATGGTGGGGTCCCCCCATAGCTCCAAGGGGTCCCCCGGCCCTGGGTCAGTTTGTCTGCCAGCAGCGTTGGGTGGTGAGAGGCATGAATAAAGCTGGTGTGGAGCCAAGCCTGGTTGGTAGCTGTTTCTTGCTTTGGATGTGAACTGGGGAGGCAGGAGGGAGTACACTGGAGTGGGGCGGGGAGACTGGCGGGTGTGGGGCCCAGGCTGGAGCTGGAAGCTCACCCAGCAACAGCCCTGCCAGACCCCAAGGGCCCTCTCAGCCCCTGTCTGGCCAGGAGCAGGAGCTACGACTGCCCGCTGGACCTCCATGCCACTTAGGAGACTCCTGGGGGTGGGGGCAAGAAGGGCCTCTTCCCAGTCAGTTCCAGAGGGGCTGGGAGTGGGAGGACAGGATAGCACATCTCCAGACCTTCCCCTCAGGGATGTCCCACAGGGCGTCCCATCTGCTGGGCCAGCTCTGCACCAGAGGCTGAAGCAGAGGGTGCCCTTTGAGAAAAGATGGGAGGCTGGTTTGTTGGAGGTTGGCACTTAGACTTGAGCAAGTCACTTGACTTGATCTCTTAGGGCTTGGCTCTTGATAGTTAAAGGTCTCGGCCTCACCGCACAGCCGCGGAGAGTTACTGGGGCTGATGTTACCAGAAAACAGGGAAGGGTAGCTTCAGACAGGAGACCACTCAAGTCGTGTGTCTATGTCCGCCTATGTGGCCAGCAAGTTCACTTGCTTCCTTCCCTACCTTAAGGATACCGCTCCTTCAAGCCCCTGCCCAGGATGCTTCTGCACCAAAGGACTTATGGAAATCTCATAAGCAGGGGCCAGCCTGATTGTGTGAGGCCTGAAGCATATATGATTTGGGGGGCCCCCCTGCCCAGGATGCTTCTGCACCAAAGGACTTATGGAAATCTCATAAGCAGGGGCCAGCCTCATTGTGTGAGGCCTGAAGCATATATGATTTGGGGGGGCCATTGATAAGAAAACGGGAGGAAAATGTGAATTGAAAATTAAAATGAAAGTGAATATTTAGAAAGGAAAAGAAACCACAGCAAATTAGGGAGCCTTGGAGATTCGTGTCCCTGACTGAGACCTCTGGGCTGTTTACTGGAACTGTTTCCTTAGAAATACTTCCTGATGGGGCCGGCCCCGTGGCTCACTCGGTAGAGTGCAGCGCTGGGAGCGCAGCAACACTCCCGCCGCGGGTTTGGATCCTGTATAGGAGTGGCCGGTGTGCTCACTGGCTGAGCGCAGTGCGGGAGACACCAAGCCAAGGGTTGCAATACCCTTACCGGTCACAAAAAAAAAAAGAAAAAGAAAGAAATACTTCCTGATGGAACATGGTTTCACACTACCTAGAAAACTGTGTGGGTCAGTGATTCTCAAAGTGTGGCCTGGACAACTAGACTGACTGAGACCTCTGGGCTGTTTACTGGAACTGTTTCCTTAGAAATACTTCCTGATGGGGCTGACCCCGTGGCTCACTCGGTAGAGTGCAGCGCTGGGAGCGCAGCAACACTCCCGCCGCGGGTTCGGATCCTGTATAGGAGTGGCCGGTGTGCTCACTGGCTGAGCGCGGTGCGGGAGACACCAAGCCAAGGGTTGCGATACCCTTACTGGTCACAAAAAAAAAAAAAAAGAAAAGAAAAGAAATACTTCCTGATGGAACATGGTTTCACACCACCTAGAAAACTGTGTGGGTCAGTGATTCTCAAAGTGTGGCCTGGATGACTAGCCTGGACAACTAGAGGCATCAGGATGGCAGAGGAACATGTAAATTCTGCCAGGATGGGTCCTGCAGATGATTCTGATGTGGGTTCAAGTTTGGGAAGCACCACTCCAGGCCCTGGCTACTCAGTGTGGTCCTCAGACCTGCGGCATCAGCCTCACCGGGAACTGGTGAGGAGCACGGCACCCGACCCACCCGATCTCCCCGAGTGTGCGTCCCCTCGGTCCTGCCAGCATCCCTCCAGCACAGCTCCTTGCTGCCCGCCACGTGGGCACTCCCAGGGTGAGTGTGGGGCCTGGGGTCAGCTTGCTAGGGCAGCTGGAGGGAGGTGCCCTGGCAGCCTGCACCGAACCCTGGATGTGGAGCCCCGCCGACAAGCAGCCACCAGCCATGGGCAGGGGCCTCGGGCTGCACAACAGGTAAATGAGGTCTCAAGATAAGGAAGGGCAAGAGCCTGGGGACGCCCAGCAGGCAGCTCTAGGGAACTGCTCCAGCCTGCCCCGTTTCCTTTGGGGGTGGGGGGAGCAGCAGAACTTCCCAATTCTGCCAGAAGGGGTGGGGGCTGCAGGTGGGGAGAGGAGGGAAAGAAAGAAAAGGAGTAGCCTTCTTGGGCAGGGGAAAGCCACCTAACAGGCCTCACTCCGAGCCCCCTGAGTAGCCTTCTTCGGCTGGGGCAGGAGACCCAGCCCAGGTGCCATCCCCCCTCCCCTCACCCTAGAGTCCCCGGAAGGAGGGACGACAGCTGGCACACGCTGGGAACTGACTCTGCTCTGGCCATCTGATTCTCCCAGCAGCCCTGTAATGTGGCCCAGTAAGGAAACTGAGGCACAAGAGATGAAACGACTCGCAGGTCACACAGCAAATCAGCAGCATTTGTCACTTCTCTGCAGAGCATCGGCTTCCCGAGGCGGGGACTGGAGGAGTCCCGGGAGAGCCCTTCTGCAGCCTGCCCAGGCTGGTGGGGCCTCGGCGGTGCAGGAAGCTGGAATCTGACCCTGATGGCGTGGGGCCCGGTCTCCATGGCAGCTGGGGATTTATTACTGGCCTCCACCCAGCTTAGCGGACTTTCAACTTGAAGCCGAGGGAAGGGAAGCAGGAAGGCCGTTCTGAGGCAGCTGGAGCCCTGTCATGGTGAGTGAGGGTCTGGCAGCTCGGCAGGGGCCGGGGAGCGGCCTTCAGTGGAGCCCTTCCCTGACTGTTCTCCTCTCTGCTGCAGGCCAAGTTTCTTTCCCAGGACCAAATTAATGGTAGGTCGGGTTTGCTCTTTGATTAGCAACTCACAGCAAAATATGGGTCTCATTAGGCAATTTACTCAGTTCATTTTTTGTTCGTGGGAGAGAAGGCTCTGCAGACAGAGCTGGGCCCACCCACAGGCAAGGGCTGGCTGCTGTGGGGACCTGCTACTCGGTGGAGTGGGGGGAAGCCTCAAAGTTAGAAATGTGGGCTTTGTATTTGTCAACGTGATCCACAAGCTGGGGTGATAGGAGAGAGCTCACTAGGTTTCCCTCCAGAACCTGATGTTGGATTTGGAGCAGGAGGGGCTTGGGGTGGGGAGAGAGCATAAACATTATGACTGAGGGCAGGAAAAAAAGGAGGAGGGGGCTTTGTAATTGGTCAAGATAGAGAAAAGAGCCCAGGTCTGCACCCTCCGGCAGGATACTTCTACTCATTGGGCCTCAGTCTCCCTGTCTATAAAATGGGGGGTCAGCTTAAGTCCTCTGCCTTGGCATCAAGCCTAGTTTGGGTATGAGCACTTTATTCCCTGGGTCCCCTAATCTGCCAGCCCCAACCAGGCTTCAGTTTCCCTCAGCGCCAAGCTCTGTTTTCATATGGCCAAAAGGAGAGAGTTGGGTTACAAAGAAGTCAGAGGCCCATATCTGGACGGGGGAGCCTAGTGGCTATGGCCCAGAGCACCTGGCAGGAGAGGCTAGAGCCCAGCCTAGAGCTTCAAGACCTGTCCCGACAATGCATGGCAATGGGCCTGACAGTCCACCCCGAGGCATCACATTCCTCCAGGATTCTGCTGAGATGTCCCCTTCTTAGTGAGTCCCTCCCTGACCACTGGAGATAAAATTGCAGGCACCTTGGGACAACAGTGCCTTTGTGATCCAGGCCAGGGTCCTGTGGGCCCTGGAAGTGGGCTTAGGTACCTGAGCAGGGGTTCCAAAGTTCTAGGTATCCAGACCTTGGTCTAGAAGGGGGGTGGATTGTGGGCTCCAGGTGGGCATCTTCTCATAGAACCTTTGAACTCTTTATCCCAAGAGGAGGGCCAAGGCCAGAGGAGGGTCAGAGGAGGGAGTGTTAAAACACAGAGCCTGGGGCAGGGGCCAATTGTCCAGGCCCACAGGAGATGCTGAATGGTGGACTCAGGGCTGGAGTCCAGCTCTCAGCCTCAGTGTCCCCCCATCCACACCTGGTTCTGAGGCTCACTGACCCTTTCCCCTGGGACCTCCGAAGCTTTCAGAAGGGAAGAGGTAATTTCTCTTTGTATCTCAGTGTATAGCACAAGAAAGAGGCCACCAGTGTTTACTGAAGGGATGAGAGACTGGACAGGGATGGTCTACTGGAGTGGGAAGGACAGGGACTTTGGAGGCAGCAGATCTGGAGTCCTATCACCTCTGAGTCTCAGTTTTCTCATCTGTGACACAGGGATAATGATGCCACCTCATCGGGCTGCTGTGGGCTACAGACAGAGGGGATAATGCCAGTTACACCCTTGACACTGGACCACGCATAGCCTGGGGGTCACCCACACGTGTGCCGGGGCTGGCTTGCTCCAGCTAGTGACAGCCACATTTTTAGGAATTTTGCAGGCCCGTTGTTATAGCCAGCCATTAGTAACTAATGTAGGACCAAGCAGAGTTCCAGTCCCTACATCTATAACAAAAGTTAAAAAGACAGCCCTGTGGTGATCAGTAGCGCTAAAGATTTTACAGAAGTTTTAGTATAGTGAATATAATTTGTATAAAAGTGAGAAAGATTAACAGCAGATCACTTATCTTTAATGACAACACATTCACTATAAAAAGAATTGCATATGTTGGCAACGTCATTTGTCAAATCATGGTTGAATTGAAGCTATAGGTTGGCAATGAATCCAAGAGTTGACAAAACTCACTTGTGGTAATCAATTGGCTAGATGGAATTCATAATAAAGAGTATTGCATATTTTATTATTTTTTGTAAATTGTGTGTTACATATTCTTTATGTCTAAGTGATAATAAACATGGGCACACATCATCAGAGCTGGTCAGTAAACACTCTTCAGCACACAGCCAGGTGTTATCCTTAGGGAAGTCCCTTATTTGTCCTGGGGTGTTTGCATTTTCAAAGAAAAGATCTAAAGGGAATTTTTAATCCACTTCATTTAACCCGATTTGTTCTTTCACTCAATAAATGTCTTTGAGTCCTTTCTTGGCACCAGCCCCATTCTGGGCATTAGAGATACAGCAGTGGACATAGTAGACAAACCCCTGCCCTCACGAGGTCATGGTCATGGGAGGCGAGGACAAGGGAAAGTAGTGGAATACACAGCATGGGAGACGCTGAACTGGGAGGAAAAGCAGCAGGAAGGGGGAGCCAGGAGGTGCAGGGGAGAAGGGGTGGGGGGAGGAGCCAGGGCTGTTCTCTGGGTGCCCTGTGTCTTGTTCCAGCACAGGAATTCCAAGTCCAGGTTTGGCTTTCCAGGTCTTTAAAAGGTGTATTTGTGGAGGTAGGAAGGCAGGACACAGTCGATGTAACAGTTTGTTAGTTGGGGGGGGGGTCTCCATGTGAGCCCTGCCCTGCAGCCACAGGCCCCAGTTACTGCTGCGAGCCTGGCCCATGGTGGGTGCAGTGCGCCCAGCTGCAGAGCCAGCCCAGTCTAGGCCCCGAGGGTGTGGTGACCACCTTCCAGCGCTGGTCATAGATGAGGTCTCAGAGAGCCGTGGGCCCAAGCCTGTCCTGTGGGCAGAGCTGGACAGGAAGACAGAGCGGGGGTGGCCCTGAGAGGTCCCCAGGAGTATACCAGGAGGAGGCTGAGTTTAAGCTCCATACATGGGGCAACGTTCTCTGTTCCCCCGATGTGAGGTGACGGCATCGTCCCCTCTAGCTCTGGGCCTTCTTGCAGGGAATTAAGTTTTGCAGGAACCAAGGCTGGGGTCTTAGGAGAGGCTCTGGCCCTGCTTTCCCTGGGCCACTCCAGCCCCCGCCACCTGGTGCTGTCTGGTTTGCCCTGCTGGAAGCTCAGGCCTGGGGACCTTCTGAAAGGGCAGGTGAGCATGTGAGGTGGGGGCTTCCCCTTCAGCCTCTCCATAAAGGTGGCTAGCTAATCTGTTTCTAGACCCAGCCAGCTGGCCTGCCTTTCTTTAGCGACCTCCCCCCACCCCCAAATCCTAGACCGGAAGGCTGCAGGGAGTAATGATGGTACCACATCCCAGGGCTGTGAGCTGTCACTGATGTTCTTGTCATCAGCTAGGGAGCCACCAGGCTTCTGAGGAACCTCCCGGGTGGTGTGAGAAGCAGGAGAGAGAACAGATAGCCCGGGTCAGGGCTGGGTCCCCACTGTGGGGCTCAAGCAGGTGGCTCCCCCTGTGGCCTCAGTTGCCACATTTGGAAAACAAATGGGATTGGATGAGAATCACAGCGTCCTGATGGCAGCCCCACCCCAACCCGAGTCAGAATCTCAGTTGGTGGGGCTCGGGAGCCGGTGGGGCCGCACTGCTGGGCTGTGAGGCTGTAGATTTAGAGGGGCCTTCGCTCCAGCAGCCCTTTCATCTCCACCAAGTACCGAGGGAGAAAGGGCAGCAGGCCAGCTCTCCTCAGCTCTTCTCCTTGGAGAACAGGACCAGGACCTCTGTCAGAGGACAGCTGGAGAGTTCAGCCACCTGGAGGCCTGGGACTGGGGCAGTGGAGCCACGAGTGCCCACAGTTGTAATAATAATAATAATAATAACAATAACAATAAGTCCCCACATCTGAGAGCCACTCTCTGCTGGGCCTTCCTGGAGGGGATTTCTGGTCCTCACAGTCATCACAGTAATCCAGGCATCATTAACCCTGTTTCTCAGAGAAGTTGTGTTTGCAAAGGTCCCCAGGGAGTTCTGGATGCCCTGCTGTGGGCTCCTGCCCTGCCTGGGCTGGGCTACAGGAGACTTTCCTGGGGTGTGTTAGTCAGTTGTAGGAAGGAGAGAAGTGGGGGGAAGAGGAAGGAGAAGGAAGGGAGGGGGCAGGAAGGAGGGGGAAGGGTAGCCAGGAATGGGCGGGGGGCAGGGGGGTTTGGTTGCCAGATGAAGTACAGGACACCCAGCTAAAACTGAATTGCAGATAACTACAAATACTTTTCCAGTATTAGTATATCCCATGCAAAATTTGTAATCTACTTATACTAAAAAAGTGTTCATTGTTTCTGTGAATTCAGTTTAACTTGGCGGTTCTGCATTTCCAGTTGCTCTATCTGGCAGCCTTAGGAGGAGAGGAGCGGGGAAGGGGTGGGCAAAAGGGAGGGGGAGACTAGGGGAGGCGCCAGAGGGCAGAGAGGGCACAGGGGTGGAGGGAGACGATGCTACTGACCCTCCCTTCCGGGCCGTGCACAGAGTACAAGGAATGCTTCTCCCTGTACGACAAGCAGCAGAGGGGGAAGATAAAAGCCACTGACCTCCTGGTGGCGATGAGGTGCCTGGGGGCCAGCCCGACGCCGGGGGAGGCGCAGCAGCACCTGCAGATTCACGGCATAGGTGAGTGAGCTAGAGCTAGAGCGGGCTCAGGGAGGGGCCCAGCAGGTGCGTGCAGGCCGTGCAGGTGTGAAAAGCTCAGAAGTTCGAGAGGTGGGACTGAGCTGTGGTGACACCTGGTCATCTGCGTGTGCATCACACAAGCAACCGGGGACGCCCCCATCTCACAGAGGACCTCGGGATCCAGGCGTTTGAGCAAGTTTATCACAAACCCATAGAAAACCAGTGCTAACAGTGATCCCAATGTTGTGTTGACAGAAAAATGTCCCTTTGTTGAGGATCTGCCATGTGCTTAGCTCAAACAACACTGCGAAGTAGACACTATCCTAAGCTCCTTCACAGGCAAAGATCAAGGTCCAGAGCCACTAAGTAACTTGCCCAAGTTCCTGAGCCAATGGTGGAAGCAGGATTGGAACCCAGTTCTTCTGAATTCAAAGACTGACCTAAAAACTATGCAATACTGCTAGACATCGGAAGAAAACCCACCCAGAATGCTACTGAGTGGTTCTCTCTGGTGATGGGATTATGGGTGATTTCCATTCCCTTTGTTGTTGTTTCCTGTATATTCAACTATGGGAACATAGAGGACTTTTATAATCAGAAACAAACCAGGTTTGTGGTTTTTAGGAGTGGTGTCAGAGGCCAGGGTGGCTGCGTCCTCTAAACAGGAAGTGTGATCAGGAGAAGTTATGATTTGCAGCCTTTGTAAGCCAGGCCAGGGCTGGGGCTGAGGCCCCCATGCATGCCTGGAGGAGGGGCTGGGGTGGTGGGAGGGATGCAGGGAGGGGGAAGGCAGGTGAGCAGCCTAGCCCAGGACTGGGGCTTGAGGCCCCACGTGGGGTCACCTGTCCATCCTTGAAGGTGTGCTGTGGAGGCCGCCAAGGGGAGATGGACATGTGGATCTATTTCCCTCCAGTTCAGGGCAGGAGGGAAGGAGCAGAAGGGAGCAGAGGTGGTGATGCTACATCCTGGTCCTGCCACTGCTCTGTGATGTGACTCCACACTCTGTGCTTGTCTCCTTAGTAGGCAAAATGGGGTGATAGTAGCCACAGCCACTGAGGATTGTTGGGAGGATAACCACAGTCACTGAGAATGTTGTTGAAATGAAGCATATCCAGTCCAGTGAGTGGCCCATGGTGGGAGCTCAGGAGGAGGAACTGTATCCTTCTCACCGTGACCACTGCCACTGTCATGGCACTGCCTGAATTAGGTGGCCTTGAGCTGGCCTTGAAGGTTGGGCAGGAGGCCAGTTGGCTTCCCCAAAAAGCCTTTTCCTCCCTACTCACTCTGCTGTGTTTGGGGGTTTCCTAGACAGAAATGGAGAGCTGGATTTCTCCACTTTCCTGACCATTATGCACATGCAAATAAAACAAGAGGACCCAAAGAAAGAAATTCTTCTAGCCATGTTGATGGCGGACAAGGAGAAGAAAGGTTACATCATGGCGTCCGAGCTACGGTCAAAACTCATGAATCTGGGGGAGAAGCTCACCCACAAGGAAGGTAACAGCCTGGGGCCCTGTCTCCCAACAGCTGGAGAGGGATAGGGAGTTGTGGGGAGAACACTAGAGCCCAGTGGATGGCACCAGGATTGTGCAGAACCCCTCAGGTGACACATGTCCCTGAAGACTGTGAGCTAATGTCAAGCAAGGGGAGCACAGACCTGGAGCCCGGGAGGAAGACCCAGAGGGCCTGGAGGTGAAAGGGGACAAGTTGGCCAGGGTGAAGGGACCCCACAGGCAGCAGGGCAGCAGAGCACTTACTTGGGTCTCACCTCGTGTTGGCGCTTTCACCGTGGGTCTTCATTTAGTGCATGTGACACTTCTCGGAGCAGAGGAGCCTCCTTTCTGTTTATCAACAGGCAAGGGGTGGCTTTCGAGCAGCAGAGCTGGGAATTGAATGCAGGTCCCCTCGACACACGCCGACCCCATCTCAGGCGCCTTCCTCTCACCGTGACACTTCTCGGAGCAGAGGAGCCTCCTTTCTGTTTATCAACAGGCAAGGGGTGGCTTTCAAGCAGCAGAGCTGGGAATTGAATGCAGGTCCCCTCGACACACGCCGACCCCATCTCAGGCGCCTTCCTCTCACCACAGCTGTCTCTGAAGTTGCTGTTGATGCCAAGAGTTTCCAAACCGAGATGCTACTTTGCTCCACTTCCTCACAGCTCTGGCAGCTCTAAGGAGCTGTTCCAGAAGCCGTGTCCGTGGGGCCTTGGCTGCGACAGTTGGAGCAGCATCCCTGATCACAGAACCCCACGAGCGGGCCTTTGCCTCACACCCACCTGCAGCCCGCACCCCTGCCTGCCTCAGAGCAGGGGCCCGGGCCACCGGGAAAGCCCGTTTTTTGTACATTGTAAAGGGCGACCCCAACACTGGGTCACTTGTGGGATTTCTCCCCACCTGCCGGGCACCACCTGGCTAGCTCCTCGGTCCTGCCACCACAGCTGTCCCCGAGTCCATGTCCACTGAGGCTGGGTTTCTTGTTAGGCCACCCCACTTGCCTGTGGTTGGGATGCGAGGGCTGGGCTCCCCTAAAAGTAGGTACAGGAAAAAGGCGTCGATAATGACCGAATTTTCGCCTTTGGTGAAATCACGACAAATCACTGGAAGGGCTTTGAGGTTATGGCCTGAATTAGGTTTGAATTTTGGCTCCCCTTCTTTCTGGGAGACCTCAGAAGAGTTTCTAAACCTCTCTCACCTCCTCAGTTTCCTTGCTGGACATGAGATTGCAATAGACGATCCCTGGGGTCCCTCGAAGAGCTCACATTCTACACACCAGTCTGCTCAGATGTCATCTGCCATCACAAAGGCGCAGCGCAAAGCGTTTAAAAATAGCACTAGGGCAGGCAGCTCCCTCTCCCCCTGCATTGTCAGGCCAGCAGCTATCACGATCTCGTCTTTACTGTGGCTGTTTTCATGTGTACAGGGGAAATCATGAGCTGGGCTTCCCTCTCAGGCTCCGAGGACTCTGCTCAGCCCTTTAGGTGCCAGGTAGCATTTTAGCAGAGAAGGCAGCAGGGCCACCATTCTTGTGGTTAATGCTCTCTGTCTAAAGCAACACCATGGCCCCCAAACTCCCAAACATCTCTCATTTGTTTAACCAGCAAAGGGACATTTCAAAGACACTGGCGGAGTGTGCCAGACAAGCGGGGAGGCCGGTTTCTCTCCCACTTGCTGCGAGAGACAGGAAGGATGATGCCAGAAGTAGGAATGCTTTACCCTGAGTGATTAAAAGAAAATTTTCAGTTTTATTAAGAAGCATCCTTGGACAGCCAGAGAAGGCCGCCAGCGGGGGCCTCCCTTCTGAGGCCTGCGACAGGCTGAGTTCAGTACCCTGGTTTTTCATGTGTCTTAGAAGTGAGACAGAGTGGATGGCCGTGCTATCCTGAAGGCATCCTTAGACCCCAGCACTTGGCTATGCAGTGCTGCCCCGTTGCGGACAGGAAGAGGCCACAGTGACCGACGCTGGCACCGATGTTGGGCCTGTCCACTGGGACGGTTTTAACCATATGTCTGATGGGCAGAAGCTTCTCCATGAAATAAGACAAATTATAGTCTCCTCAACATTCTCAAAGTACTCAGAACTCCTCTCAGCTTAGGCAGAGCATAGGAATTACACTTTTTTTTTTTTTTTGTCTTTTTTCCGTGTCCGGCAACGGATCGCAACCCTCAGTGTTGCCCCCGTACCGGACCGGGGACCGGCAACGGGATCGCAACCCTCGGCGTTGCTCCCGCGCCTCACTCAGCCAGTGAGCGGGAACCGGTCTGTATGTGGGATCCGAACCCTCGGGCAGGAGCGCCGCCGCGCTTCCCAAGTGGCGCACTTATCCAGTGCGCCACCGGGCCGGCCCGCACAGGGTATTTTCTAACTGCCCAGAGGAAGTTGACACAGTTTTCACAGGAGTGTGAGGACAGTACAGAGCCACAGGTGGGCTGGCCCGAAAGGCCACTGTGGAGAGGTGTAAGCGGAAATGGTTCTTCTTGGCAACACCTGAGACAAGCTAGCGTTTTGTCTCAGGAATCCAGAATCAGAAGAAACAAACCAATGAAGTGAATTTTGGGGAACAATGCAGAACAATGGCATTTTTGTATGCTTTAAACTTTACACAGTTGAATTTGTTTCTCGTAATACCCCTCCAGCACAGTTTTTAAAAAAGGTGACGGTAGCAGACACCACTTGTCACTAAGTCCTCTCGTGGTGTAGGGGCAGGGGTGGTAAGGAATGCTAATTTGGAAGAGAGGGCAGGCCAGTGAGGGATAGGCCAAAGCCTGTGCTGGAGTGGCCCAGGATGGAGCTGCAGAGGATGTCTGTTCTGCTGGGAGGCTGAGAAGGAGTGCTGTGAAAGGTAAAAAGTCCAAGCCAAAGGTTACAAGCACATGGGTTGGCTGATTAGCTCAGTTAGTTACAGCAGAGCCTTATAATACATAGGTCATGGGTTCGGATCCCTGTGCCAGCCGCCAAGCAGAAAGAAAAACATAGGCACAGGGGTCACATATTTTCTCAAAAAAAAAAAAAAGCACAGGGTCGCTTCAGTGACTGAATCCTCACCAATAAACCTCTCTACCCCCTCACCCAAGCCCCTGTAGAAAGCATGATAACCTCAAAATTGAATCAGTGGTCTCCTGGCAGGGAGTAGGAGTGGGTTGTCCCTTTCTGCTTACTTCTTTATGTCCTGGTCGATGGGAATAGTGAATTGGACACTCAGGGAAGACCTCTGGGGAGCCCCAACCCCCAAAGAACTTGTTGTCTTATAATGTAACACTAAAGCCAAACTGAAAAATTAATGTGATTTATTGCAGTGGATGATCTTTTCAGGGAAGCAAATATCGAACCAAATGGCAAAGTGAAGTATGATGAATTTATTCATAAGATCACCCTTCCTGCACGGGACTACTGAATGAAGAGAGTGCAAGAGAGCTTCCACCTGGCCTGGATGGATTAATTTTTAAAAAGGAGTGTTCTTTTCACTCGAGGGAGATGGCAAACGCAGCAGCAGATGACATTACCCAACTGTAGCAGAGCACAACTAAGAATGCTAATAAATGATTTCAGCCATGGTACTAGCATCTTTTTTTTTTCCTTTTTGTCTTTTTTCGTGACGGGTAACGGGATCGCAACCCTCGGTGTCGCGCCCGCACTGCGCTCAACCAGTGAGCGGACAGTTCTCTATATGGAATCTGAACCCTCGGCGGGAGTGCCACCATGCTCGCAAGCGCCGCACTGCCACCGGGCCGGCCCAAGCATCTCTTTAATAAAAGGTTAGTACTGGGTTTTTTTGTTATTTTTTTGGCAGCTGGCCGGTCCAAGGATCCAAACCCCTGGCCTTGGTGTTAAAACACCATGCTCCAACCGAGCTAACTGGCAAGCCCTTGTATTGATTTTAATAACTACCGTTAGTCCAGTCCTCTACAGCATGGAAAGAACCTGTGGTTTGGAGTCAGGCTTGGGTTCCAGTCGTGGCTGTGCTACTTCCCAGCTGTGTGACTTTGGGCAAATCATTTCACCCCTAAGGCCTCAGGATCCTCACAAAGCTGGACTCCTACTTCTTTCCTCACAGAGCCTGGGGAAGGATGGACACACTGACTTGAAAATGCCTTTGCAAACTGTGTTTTGGAATCCTGAGTTACCACGGTAGTGTCTCTCCTCAAAAGGGCCATCTACCAAAGGCCATATTCCATATTTGGGTGCTGGGTCCATCTTCCACATTTCCAAGATAAAGCCAGTGCTAGCTGGGAAACAGCAATAAACAAGGAGCTAAAACAAACAGAGCAACATTTCTTGCAGTACCACAGGCCCCCTGTCACCTTAACGTAGTGACAAAGTTCAGGATATTCATTCATAAACACAGAGTATAGAGTGAACCCACACTCGTGTTGAAAGAGGCAGCATCAGCTAAGCAGTGGGAAGAGTGGTCTCACTTTACACCCCACACCAAAGAAAATCAGAGGATGTGAGCCATTGCACCCACCCTGAGGCCTTGCAGAACTTGAGAAGGCCCTTTGTGACGCTCCCATCAGAAGTTTGAGTTGTTCCTGGGCTATCAGGCAGCGAAGTTCCAGGGACGAGGATGGTCTGCTCAAGTAGCCCAGACTGATCATGATCTTAAGCCAGTTCCCCAGGACTAGTGGAGAGAAACGGCGGGGGGGGGGGGGGGGGGGGGAAGGGGCGGGGGGGGGGGGGGGGGGGG